TTCCTGGAAAGGCCCATGAAAACAAAAATTCCTAGGACCCACGAAAGTAATTTTGTGGCACTATTGGGTCTTGATTATGAAAACCCTTATATGTTAACCAAGAAGTTTGGATTTCTAGGAGCATCAGACAATAAATTAACAGATTTTAAGTACAATCAGCATAGTCTTTTGTGACAATGCCTTTATCAGCAGTTTGGTTGAGATTATTTCCAGTTTATTGTGGTTATGCTCAACAAAATTGTTTTAATGTTTATATCCAAATTTCACCTGTTAAAAATTAGAAGAACATGAGCATGGTGGTGCATGCTTGTAATCCTAGCTATTATAGAGATTAAGAGAGGCTTACAAATTTGAAGACAGCCTGGGAAAGTTAGTGAGACCCTCTCTCAAATCACTTGGTCAATCAATCAATCAATCAAGAATATTTTTAAAAGGCTGGGGATGTAGCTCAGTGATACAGCCCTTGCCTATCTTGCACAAGGCCCTGGGTTCAATCCCTACTACTGCAAAAAACAAAAAACAAAAACCCAATAATTTCTTTTTCAAGACCCATGTCTAAACACTGATTGGCTAAATATGTCCCTTAAAAGAATTAATTGACAGTATATGTCTAATCAAAATTTTTCTAGTTATTGACAAATTTAGACTACCTACATATAAATAACCAGTCTCTGTATGTAATCTGTGATGATATAATTTTTCTAGACTATACTGTTTCTAATTGTAGTCTTAATTTCATCCTTACTTTTTCTACATTATTTATGAAGAGTTCAAAACCTTATTATAGGTATGTGTCTGAGACTGATTCCAAAAATGGCTTTTAGAAAGCCACAGACACTGGTTTACAAAATGAATTTTTCTTGGTTTTGATTAGGCTAGTAAGTTTTTGCAATCTTTATGTTGTTTAAGAATCATAATTTGAAAGTATTATTTTTTAATATTTATTTTTTAGTTGTAGTTGGACACAATACTTTTATTTTTAAATTTTTATGTGGTGCTTAGGATTGAACCCAGGGCCTTGCACATGCTAGACGAGTGCTCTACTGCTGAGCCACAACCCCAGCCCAGAAAGTATTATTTTAAAAATAATAAATATAATTGGCCTACACTGATGCCCTCATCACCAAATAATTTCTTAGAAATGCACTGAAATTATTTTAAGAAAAATAGTTTAGGAAAATAGAGATGTTAAAGATATGATTTAGGGGCTGGGGATGTGGCTCAAGCCATAGCGTGCTCGCCTGGCATGCGTGCGGCCCGGGTTCGATCCTCAGCACCACATACCAACAAGGATGTTGTGTCCGCCGAGAACTAAAAAAAATAAATATTAAAAATTCTCTTTCTCTCTCTCTCCTCTCTCACTCTCTCTTTAAAAAAAAAAGATATGATTTAGTCCTCTCCAGTTGTACCTTTAATATTAATGTAGCTTTTTTTTTTTATTTATTTAGGGGTGGGGAGTAGTTAGACAGGAGAGGTTGGATTATCTTTGTTTTTTTGTTTATTTGCTTTTTGGTACCTGGGTTTAAACCCAGAGGCGTTTAACCACTGAGCCACATCCCAACCCGTTTCATTTTTTGAGACAGGATCTTACTAATTTGCTTAGGGCCTTGCTAAATTGCTGAGACTGGCTTTAAACTTGTGATCCTCCTGCCTCAAGTCTCCTGAGCCTCTGGGACTGCAAGTATCTGCTACCATGCCCAGCCAGATTTATTTTTTGTCTAGTTCTATAACAACTTTAGATTTCTGTCACCAAGTTATATAATAATGGCACTAAAATTATATATGTGTCTATTTTTCATGTATTCTTTTACAAAGATATATCTTTTCTTTTTATTCTTGAATAAGGCACGTTTTGATCTACCTGCTTCCAGGTACAGTCCGATCCCTACTTACTTACTCAATATTCAGTATAAAATCCTAGTCAAAGAAAGTAGCAGAAGAGGAGAAGGTATAGAATTAAGTTTATCTTGGTTGTGGAAAACTAAAGTTATTAAATTCATAAATTCTAAACTTTCTAAAAGAAACAGTATATTATATAACTTTGATGTCTAGTAGGAAATAAGAAGGATTTTTACCTGGGCAGGATAGGGAGAAGGAATTATGCCTCATGGATAGATACCTTTCAGATTTGTAAGTTTTTTGTTTGTAGTTGAATTTTATAACTGAATCTTTGTGTCATATGTAAACATATATTTAGTTTTAATTTTTGTAATAATTAATTTGGTAAAATTTGACAATTAGGGGATAACCTAAGGAAATGCTGTTCATTGTTAAATGGAAAAGATAATATAGTAAATATGATTAAGCTTGTTGTTAAAAGAATTAGAGTATGGACCAACTTGATAAAAAACTATGGTAGAATCATTAGACTAATGTCCTAGAATTTGTTTTTATAAATAGGTAGCACTGTATATTTTGGCTATTTAGTTGATACTAGTAAATAACTTCTAGAGGACTACCTAAAGTGATTTTATTTTATTTTATTATTTACTTATTTTAAATTTTTATTTGTTCTTTTTAGTTATACAGGATAGTAGAATGTATTTTGACATATCATACATACATGGAGTATAAATTCCCATTTTGTGGTTGTACATGATATGATGTTTTACTAGTCATGTATTCATATACAAACATAAGAAAGTTATTTCCAATTAATTCTACTGTCTTTCCCATCCCCAACCTTTCTTCCATCCCCCCACTCCTCCCTGTCCAATACAGGTGAAACTCCATCCTACCTTATCCCCACATCCCTGTCTATTGTCAGTTAGCATCCACATATCAGAGAGAATGTTCTGCCTTTGTTTTTTTGGGATTGGCTTATTTCACTTAACATGATAGCTTCTGAGATCAGACGAGATTGGGCTCGTTCAGGGTGGTATGGCCGTAGACCACTTAACATGATAGTCTCCAGTTCTGTCCATTTACTGGCAAATACCATCATTTCATCCTTCTTTATGGCTGAGTAATATTCTATTGTGCATATGTGCCACATTTTCTTGATCCATTTGTATGTTGAAGGGCACCTAGGTTGGTTCCATAGTTTAGCTGTTGTGAATTGAGCTGCTATAAATCTTGCTGTGGCTTCGTCACAACAGAATGCTGATTTTAAGCCCTTTGGGTATATGCCAAGAAGTGGGATAAGTGTGTCAAATGGTGGTTCCATTCCCAGTTTTCCAAGGAATCTCCATACTGTTTACCAGATTGCTTGCACCCATTTTCAGTCCCACCAGCAAAGTATGAGTGTACCTTTTCCTCCACACCTTCAACAATATTTATTGTTTCTTGTACTCTTGATAATTGCCATTCTGACAGAAGTGAAATGAAATCTCAGTGTAGTTTTAATTCATATTTCTCTAATTGCTAGAGATGTTGATAATTTTTTTCATATATTTGTTGACTGATCGTATTTCTTCTTCTGTGAAGTGTCTGTTCAGATCCTTTACCCATTTATTGATTGGGTTATTTGTTTTTTTGGTGTTAAGTTTTTTGATGTTTTTATATATCCTGGAGATTAATGCTCTTTTTGAGATGCTAAAGTGATTTTAAAACATACAAATCAAGTCTCATTTTTGTTTTTCACTAATTACTGTCTGTGATTTGGTCTATCCAAGTAAGATGCTTGAGGGCTAGAACTCTATTACTTGTGAATACTCTTTTGCTTACCCCAATTCTCTAAAAGTACTTTCCATTATAGGAAATATAGCAGTTTTATGTATATATATTGGCTTAGACACTTTCATTTCTTCTCCAGAATTTTAGTTTCATTCAGAAGCATTTATTTTAATAAATTTTAATAAATCATTTCCATTGCTAAAATTCTTGTGAATTATGCCATACCAAGTAGATACATAAAATGAATAGAATGAGTCAGAATCCCAGGAGGAATATATTGGCCAAGTGGATTAGATTAGTCTTCTGACTGATCAAACACATTGGCAAAGGCTACTTTAAGTAACTAAATAAAGATCAAATGTTGCATTTGATAACATTTTACTTCTTTGGGATTCTCACCAATGTTGATAAATATTTGTTAGCCAGGAAGTTGTGTGACAAATATTGAATATAAATCAGTTAAATTATTTTATGTGCACAGATAAAGATGAATTGGTATTAAATTTACATTAGTTTGTCCCTTCAGTATGAAGAACTGTTGAGCAGTTCTGGCTGTTGATATTTTAAATAGTGGAAAGTAATTTTTTTCTTGCTCACCTAGTAGATTTAGTTTTATAAACAGATTTAATAAGGTTTAATTTATATACCATGAGATTCACTCATYTACACGAACAATTCCATGTTATTTATTTAGTAAATTTATAGATTGTGTAACCATTATCTAATTTTGAAATGCATGTCACTCTAGAAAGAAACCATATGCCCATTTTATAGTCATTCTTTACATTCCTTAGTATACAATGCCTAATAATTTAACTTTCTGCAATACACTATAAAACATGATCAAAATGAGTATTGTAGAATTTTCCAAAAATTTTAGGCCTGTAAGTTTGTGTATTTCAGCATTGGAGATTGAACCTGGTGCCTTGTACAYGCTCAACAAGTGTTCTATTGCCAAACTATGTCTCAGCCATGTTTTTTGTTTGTTTTAAAGATCATTTTAGAGCATGGACATTTTCTTTGATGATATTTCCTTGTTTGGACACCAAATTATTTAATGGAAGAAAGAGCAGTGTAATAATCTGAGGAAAAGAAGATTGCTTTTGGGAAATGAGGGTTTTTTTTTTCACATTTGCTTCTTGCTTGGGTGTTACAAATTAATTAATTAGCAGAAAGAAGTTATCAAATAAAGTAAAATTTAAAAATAAAATATTTGAATTTGAATTTGAATTCTGGCCAAGAATGGATATCCTGAATCTCTATTACCAAAGTCAGGGGAGGTTATAGTAGGGAAAATTATGTCATTGAAATAACCTGGCTTTTATATAATGTTTTATAGAGATTATAATAAAATTAATTCATCATTGTTATTGTCTTTATTTTAGCTTCCCAAAATCAAGAACGGCTATGTGCATTTAAAGATCCATATCAACAAGACCTTGGGATAGGCGAGAGTCGAATCTCTCATGAAAATGGGACAATATTATGCTCAAAAGGTAGCACCTGCTATGGCCTTTGGGAAAAATCAAAAGGGGACATAAATCTTGTAAAACAAGGCAAGTAATGCTTTTCTTACCTGACATGGAATTTCATACAATTGAAGTTTATCTAAAAATGTTATAAAAATAGATTAAGATCTTCTTCATAAAATAATAAATTTAAAAGTATGTCTTGAAGTATTCCCTGAAAATATTTCTAACCTTTATATAATATTTCATTTTCTTTATGTATCACAATTTACTTACATATCATTCTATTGTTGGACATTGTTTTCACTGTAATATATACTGTTGCAGTAACAATTTTGAACATAAATCTTTGTATCTGATTGTTTCCCTCATGTAGATTTGTTAGATTATAAAACACATCAAGGGCTGGGGATATGGCTCAAGTAGTAGTGCGCTCGCCTGGCATGGGTGAGGCACTGGGTTCGATCCTCAGCACCACATAAAAATGAAAAATAAAGATATTGTGTCCACCTAAAGCTAAAAAATAAATATTTAAAAAAATATATGAGTATTTTAAAGACTCTGTATAAAAAGTGCCAGGTTGCTTTCTAAAAATGCCATCATTTGCATTCCTTTTAGCATTGTATGAGAGTGTCTGTGTTACTGAATCCTTGTTAGGATTGCATATTGTTATTTTTTAAGTCTAGAACTATTTAATTGGTTACCGTACTATGGTTTTAATAATATTTAAATTAATGATGCAACTAAACATTTTGTTCATGTTTTTCCCCCATGAAATGTCCATTGTTTCCTTTGCCATTTTTCTGTTTGTCTTTTTATTGATTTGCAAGACTGTCTCATAACTTCTATATTTACTCTTAGATTTATTGCAGTTATTTCTTAGTTTGTTGTTTTCCTTTTAGTTTTGTCAAATTGTTTCCTAACTTGTTTTTATTAATACTGGTTTACAGGATGTTGGTCTCACATTGGAGATCCTCAAGAGTGTCACTACGAAGAATGTGTAGTAACTACCACCCCTCCCTCAATTCAGAATGGAACATACCGTTTTTGCTGCTGTAGCACAGATTTATGTAATGTCAACTTTACTGAGAATTTTCCACCTCCTGACACAACACCAATCAGTAAGTAGTTAGAGTAACTTATCTTTGTAATTCCTTTCTCCAGAGATTTTGAAAATATAAAATAAAAATTCAGGGTTGATAGGAATGGGAGACTTGCAGCATCTTAAAATGACATATGGCTAACACTTGAAATTCAGAGATGCACCAGAACTGGCAAGACATCAGTATATTATCAAATAAGTTTGAATCAAAATATAATACTCCTAAGGAGGGGAATTTGACAATACTAAGGAAACTGTAGCTGGGCTAAGTGGCAAGTGTCTGCAGTTGCAGCTACTTGGGAGGCTAAGGCAGGAGCATCACTTGTGCCCAGGAGTTTAAAGTCAGCCTAGAGAGACTCTTGACTCCCCACAAAATCCCAGAAAATTACATGGGTGTTTTCCTCTTCCACCCAGCATTCCCATTTCTAGAAGCTTATTTGAAAAGATAAATCATTAGTAGTATGAAAATACATAGACATAGTTATTCATTGTGGTATTATTATTTATAACTARTTAATATTGGAAATTACCTATGTAGTTTTTACTTTTGGTATAATGTCATTAGCTACATATGCAGAAAAATTATATGCAAAAAATTAAATCATTTTAAAGGGAAAAGGAACTAATATAAATAACTTACAAAAACATTATTTGAAAAAAAAAWATATATATATATACACACACACACACACACACACACATACTCTTTTGGGGAAGATGATATATGAAGGGCTAAGAGGAGAATTAAACAAATCTTGAACTCTTTTTAGTGTTTTAGTAGTATAATCAAAGCAATTCTGAAACAGTGTAGGTGTATTGTAGTATTATAAATATATACAGTAGTGTTCTTGGGAGCCAGGTTTCTTATTGAAGAAATAGGGATAAATAGTTACCAAACAGGGGAAGACAGAAGAGAAGCCTGTGCAAATAGATTATAATTCTGGTTACTGATGTGGACTTAGGACTTTTAAACTATACTTGTTGGTATGTTAAATACATATATACATGGTTGTATAATAGATATGCATATTTGTATATATTCGAATGTGTATTAATTTATTTATATATACACACTAATTTTTTGACCTTTTTGTTTTTGTCTACTTTTCTGTTTTTGTCTACTTTTCTATTTTTGTCTACTTTTCTATTTTCTACTCTCTTTCTACCTTTTTTTTTTTTTTTTTTTTGTGTGTGTGTGTGTGTGTGTGGTGCTGGGGATTGAACCCAGGGATTGAACCCATGTGAGGCAAGCACTCTACCAACTGAGCTATATCCCTAGTCCCCTTTCTGCCTTTCTTGTTTTATTTTTTTCTTTGTTTTTATTTCTTTCCCTCTTTTCTTGACCTTCTTTCTTTGAACCCGGGACTTCACACATGCTACACAAAAGCCCTGAATTACATTCTCAAACTACATATAAAGCATTGCTAAAAAGGACAAAATGCTAAAGTACCCCAGTAGCAGTAATAATGTTTAATGGCCATATTTTTGTCTCTAATACTATCCTTCACTAGAAGAACTAGGGCTCCTTGAGAGAACAACTTATTCTAGGATGCGAGCAGGGTAGTAGTTTAAGACAAGCATGAAATAGAAAGTATTGCCCCCAAATATAATGGATAAGCCTATCATAAGAATGCAGGAGCTAGGGCTGGGGTTGTGGCTCAGTGGTAGAGTGCTTGCCTGGCACATGTGAGGCCCTGGGTTCAATTCTTAGCATCACATACAAATAAATAAATTAAATAAAGGTCCATCATGAAAAAAAAAAAAAAGAATGCAAGAGCCAGCTTGAAATAACTTCCACAGGCTAAATCTGGGGCGACTTTAGTGCTAAAATAATTAAATATAGTAATGAATTATAAACCATTGGAAGGAAAATGAATTCATGTGTAGAATGTCAAGTGCTAACTGGTAAATATAGGAGTGTTGGAGTTGGCAAATCATCATTCTGTAACCATCACAGTAAGATTAGATCTGGGGTTAGGGTTGTAGCTCAGTGGTATAGCACTTGCCTAGAACATGTGAGGCACTGGGTTTGATCCTCAATACCACATATAAATAAGTGAAATAAAGGTATTTTGTCCATCTACAACTAAAAAAAAATAATTAAAGAATCACACAAGGGTTATCAAAGGATTGTAAATCAAGAGTTTTAATGAGGAACCAGGATATTTGTATTGTTTAAAAGTGTCTCCAACATAATTGTAAGGGGAAAATTCAGAATATATAAGTGGAGAAATTGGATGACACCTTGAACAGGTCATGAAAATTAACATAATTAATGAAGGGCAGATGGACATCCACAGTACTTAGGGGATACAACATTATTATAATGTTATATTCTGGCCAAGAATGGATATCCTGAATCTCTATTTCCAAAGTCGGGGGAGGTTATATATTTTAAAATTGTTTCTGTCATATAAGACAAAGAAAAGCTGTGGAAAAGGTATACATTAAAAGAGATTTAAAAGACTTGACAGATAAGCAGTACACCTAATTGTCCTTCTGAATGGGGAAAATATGGTAAAGGACATTGTTGGGTCAGTTGACAAAAATGGATGATTAGAGAACAGTTTATTTAAATATTAAATTACTGAAGCTGATAACAATACTATGGTTTTGCAAGAATACATCATATTCTTAGAAAATATTCTTAAGAAGTATTTAAAAAATAAAGGGCCATGATATATATAACCTACCATCTAATGATTAAAAAACAAACATAATATGCATGGGTGTGTATGTGTGTAGAGAAAGAGAATAATAAAGCAAATGGGGGTAAATGATAGCAAAGAGTAAATCTGTGTTAAGGTTTGTTTACTCTTCATCATATTTTTGCAAAATATATTGTAAGTTTTAAGTTTTTCAAATAAAAAGTTTGAAAAATGTTAAAGCTTTTTAAAATTGAAATATAGCACTTTGTAAGAATTCTCTCAGTCAACAAATATGGTGAGTATAAAGACCTTCTGTTTGGGATTATTTCATTTGATTTATTGATGAAATACTAAACTGAAAGCAGTAGAACATTTCTCTATGTAGACCATTAGCTTTAAAAAACATTTTTTTTTTGGTTGTAGATGAATACAATACCTTTATTTTATTTATTTATTTTTATGTGGTACTGAGGATGGAACCCAGTGCCCCACACTTGCTAGGCAAGCACTATACCATTGAGCCACAACTGCAGCTCTGACCGTTATCTTTTATTAGGAGATTATTCTGAATTGGGTACATTAATTTTCCTCTAATTTTCATTTGTACATCTGCCTAGATGAAAGAGGTGAAGTACATTTGTATATCATTTTCCTCAAAGATCTTTACATTTATATTACATTTTAGATTACTACCTGGATCTTGGTTTCTGTAATCTTGATTTAAAAGCATGAGTATTGCCAACTAGGAATCATTAATTCCCAAGAAAAAGGCAGAGTGTTTAAAGTGCTCTAATTTGGGAGCATTAGCACAGTTTATGTATTTTATTCTTTAAACAACAGCAACAAAATCAAGTTAGTTGAAGTTAGCAAACAAGGTGAATATTGGCTTTTGCATTAATTTCAAGKAAAATAACACTAAAAATAATCACATTTAGCCTGCAAGTGCTAAGTGTTTAACCAAAATAATAAAATAGTTTTAAATATTGAAATTTAAAGAAAAAACCTAAAACATAAAATTAAGAAGCAGAGCTTTTTGTTCATGGCCACATAATAATAAGTAAAAAGTTTGGTGCTGGTGATTTTTTTTCTTCTTTCAAATTTTATTTTAAAAGTGTATATATTTTAAAACTACTAAAAACATAGCATAAAGTTATCAGAAATAGAAGAAGAATAATGTAGGATGACTATTGGGAAAGGATACATATTTCTACACTTTTTAATTGGTTGAGTCTTTAAAATGGGCATATATTTGTGTATTACTTATATAATTAAAGTATCACCTGCTTGTTAATTTGAAAAAAAATAGAAAAATGACCATATGCCTGTGGTACTACCTACTCAGGAACCTAGGACCCCACCTCAAAAACAACAACAGCAGCAAAAAAGAGAWAAAGAAAAATGACATAAGTAGAAAGGAAATAAACAATTTCCAATAGTCTCTACACCCATATGCGATCATTGCTAATATTTTCAATATTTTTTCCCAATATTTTCTTTTTAGTTTTTGTATAGCTGTATTAGTAGTATGTATTTTACATTTGCTTTTTTTTTTAACAAAACAAGTATTTTCCAGATTATTATGTTTCACAGTTATTAGTTTATAGTTACATAGTATTTCAAATCAACTAGATATTCTCCTTGTCCCTTCTCTTGCTTTTGGACATTTAGGCTTATTTCCAGTTTTCTATTCCAGTGAACATCTTTGTATGTACAGCTGTGTGTAGCATTATAATTCCCTGAATTGGTATTTCTGTAGCCAAAAGTAACAGTGTTAAAGTTATGCATATATCATTAAATTGCTTTTCAGGTAACTGAAATAGTCACATACATCGGTGATGTATGAAAGTGCACATTTCATCATATCTCTAGCAGAAGTAGTATTACTAAAATAAAACTTTACTGAGAGCATTTTACAAAATGATTTTCAGTTTTTATTAGATTCATGTTTGTTATTTTTAGTTGTCTTATATTTAATGTCCGTTTATAGTATTGTTATTTAAGAATTTTTAAATTTAATTTGTTTTATATTGTGCCTGTTATAGGGTACCAATGCGTGTATGTTTTGTGTAATGTTTGAATCAGGTTTAGTATATCTATTTTCTTAATGATTATTTTTGAATAAAGAAACAAACTAACTTTGAGAAAAATGATTTTTAAAATAGTCTGAAATCTGGTCATCTAACCCCTTTGTCAGTTTGCAGAATCTACATTTTAAATGATAATAATAATAATATTTTAATACGCAAAATTTTTGTTTATTGCAAAATCTTTGAAGTTCAACTCTTCCTAATGAAACACCTTTAATATCTATCATTCAATAAAAAWTTAATGTTCATTTTATAGTGTGAAAATTATACTTTAATTAAGGTAC